CTCTTCTTCCTCCTCAAATGAACTTTTCTGTTGGAAACCTCTGTACTTCTATCGCACATTCAGGCTTCTATTAGCATACCTTTCCCATTAGTCTGAAATCCTTCTCGTCTCATTGTAACTCTCTGTTTCTCACTTCACTCGCGCTCTTTCGATCCCATCAAGTCCCTAGTCTCCTAGGCTCCTACTGACTTTTATGTCATTACTGACCCTGGAGATACGACGAACCCCTTTCAGCAACCAGACGGCTGAACGAGAAAGTATATCTCCCAGTGAGTCCTACTGACCGATTTAACTTTTAACCATCACTTACACCTTCTTAGCTGTCTCCCAGGCTAGCAAGATGGCTCCTCCCGAAGCCCCCGATGTGGACTCCATAGATCTCATTGCCAGCGACATGAAGGAGCTTGTCCGGAAAATCCAGGACCTACGCCACATCGGAATTGAGGACAAGATGATTGTGCTACCAAAAATCTGCGTCATTGGTGACCAGAGTGCCGGTAAAAGCTCTTTGATCGAGGGAATGAGCGAGATCAAGGTGCCACGAAGCGCGGGAACATGCACCAGATGTCCAATGGAGATCAATCTCTGTGAGGGCGAACCTGACCAGCCCTGGACTTGTAAGGTCTTCTTGTCGCGGAAGTACATGTATGATGCCTCTAAGAAGATCGGTAAGATTTCGAAGAAGTCTCAGTCCCTCGGGCCTTGGCAGGAGCAAGAACAACAAGAAGACGAGCTTTTCACAACACTGACAGACAAGCTCGACCTCGTCGAAGTGATTAGATGGGCGCAGCTCGCCATTTTAAACCCAGGCAGACCTTCCAGCGAATATTGCCCGGGCAAAACAGTGAAACAGATCCTGATTATTGTCAAGTGAAATTCTCACCCAACGTCGTGCGCTTGGATATTGCTGCGCCGGGTTTTCCTAACTTATCATTCTATGACTTGCCCGGTGTTATCAGCCAGGCTGAGCAGGAAGAAGAACGCTATCTTGTTCATCTGGTTGAGAACCTTGTCAAGCATTACATTTTGCAGAAGCACTGTATTGTCTTGCTGACGTTGCCGATGACGAATGATGCCACAAATTCAAGCGCTGCAAGGATCGTACAAACCACCTCTGGAGCAAACGCAAGGGCAATGGGTGTTCTGACCAAGCCCGATCGCATTCAGACAGGAGAATCTTATGCTCAATGGATTGAAATACTTGAAGGAGACAAGTTCTCGCTTGGCCACGGTTACTTTGTTGTTCGTAACAACCCCGACCCCGCGGTCGAGCACTCCGTCGCTCGGGAAGAGGAAGAAGCCTTCTTTGCGGGAGAGCCCTGGGCCACAGATCTGGCTCTTTATCGAGACAAGTTTGGGACCCGAAATTTACAGGCGACACTCCTCCTCTCTGCTTCTTGAGCAGATTCAAGGATGTCTACCGGACTTTATTGAGAAGATTAATGCCAAAGCAGAGAGGATTGAGGCTGAGCTCCGGACTCTCCCAGACCCGCCCTCTGCGAATGTTCCATATATTATTTGTGGAAAGTTAAACCAGCTGAAGGAGCAAATTCGCGCTCATATTGATGGTGGGTCAGCAACTTACCCCATGCAGAAGATCTGGTCGCATATTGCCATGGATTTCAAACGAGCCCTGATTACGACTCGGCCCACTGTGAGAATGCTCTCTCCAAGTGATAAGTTCCCTGGCCCGACGGTCCGCGATGCAGAGGGGAGCGATTCGGACTGTGAGATGACAACGGTCCCGCAGCCAGTCAAACGCAAGTCACCAGGGGAGCCTGGGATTATCTCAAGTGTACCAGAAGCGAGACAACAGCCAAATCCAGCTACAACCGGGACCAGAAATGGATTGTACTCGACAAACCATTTCGACAAGTTCAACGCTCCGGCCCTGATGTTTACATGGGAGAAGATTCGCGAAATAAACGAGGATTCATATCGAGCTGGACTGCCGGATCAGACGGACCCGAAAGCCATTGAGATCATGAACCAGATGAGCGTGAAGCACTGGTACGACCCCCTGTCAGTGTTCCTGGTTGCCACCTATCGCCTTGTCCGGGAGATGCTGCACAAGCAGCTAGATGAAGTCTTTCTGCAATATCACCAGACGGGTCTCTATCGAGAACTCAAGCGAATCATTGAGAGCTTCTTGTATAAGCTACGAGCTGCTCATTTCGAGCATGCGCAGGAAAACTTCAGCATTGAGTATAACAAACCATTTACAATGGCACTTTCGGCATTGGACCAGTCAATCAAGTCTGCTTACAGCTTTCTTGCGGAGAGGCGGCGTGTTGCTCGTGCTGGGTCCTACCTTGACGCTCAGGGAAAGTACCCTAGAGGAGACGCCCGACGTGAAGCTGAGCTTAGGAAGCTTACTGATGCCGAGCTGGGGCGCGACCAGTTCTCGCAGGAGCTGACCATGATGGCGGTAAGTCGATCTCGTGCCAAAATTTGAGTAAAACCTAACTGCCCTGGCTAGACAAGTCGCGGGTACTACGACTTGGCGAGTTCGCGGTTCATTGATTCAATTTGCCAGAGCGTGCACACTAAATTGTTCGCAAAATGCCGTGACGACCTCATCAAGGAGATCGAAAGAGAGCTTTGTATTTTCGATGAAAACGGTACGTTTCACCCATTCTATCAGGAATTAGATACTAAGACAATTCCTTGCCTTCCAGCATTGGAAAGATGTCTTGAGCTGATGGAGGAGGACCCGGACCGCCAGAGACGCCGTCAATTCCTTCTCAGAGAAAAGGAGCGAATTGATAAGGCCCAGGAGTGGCTAAAGCTAGCGAGGAAGGAGGATGACCAGGAAGACCCATTCGAAAATGTGAGGATCAAATCACAGCCTCCTGACGATTGGACTACTTAGTTGCGGCTTGGAGAGCGTTGTGTGAGCCTTTTCCTGTCCACAGTGCGTGGCTACAACAGAATCTACTCTGGCGATCAGATGTGTTAGGCTGGTGACTGGATTTACGAGTGGCCATGTTGGAAAAGTATACAGTTCAAGCTGGAATGGTGATGGATGATGGATGGATTGACCGCAAGCATCGAGGCGGGGTAGGGAACCCCACTTTGGTGCCCTAAGCCCTAAACACTGCTTGCGATGATCTCGAATGGTGTATGGCAGCCTGTAACCAATGGAAAAGGAGAGATGTCAGATAGAAGGACTAATAGCTCTAGAATGCAAATCAATGGGGATACTCGGTAATTTTTGCTAGATTTCCGCAATGATGATAAACAGGAGGCCGAGTCCAAAGAACAGACGATTACTTAAGGACTGGCTGGGCGGGGGGAAGCTGCCCCTCGCAGTGCCCAATGAGGATCGCGGGCGGCGACTCCCGCCCAAAATTCTCGCTCCCTCCGACTTCAGCCCACCATCTTGTGTGTCATCGATCGATCCCTCCACTTACCTTTCTTTCCCTTCTCATCGTCTTGTTCCCACGGTGATTGAGACTGAGCAATTACCCCTGTCCATCACCATGGCTGATAACAACGCTGTTAAGGAGGCCGAGGCCTCCATGGCCAACCTCCTCCTCGATGAGGTGACCGGCGAAAAGGTCTCCAAGTCCGAGTTGAAGAGACGCCAGAAGAACCGTGAGAAGGAGGCCAAGAAGAAGGAGAAGGAGGCCGCTGCTCCTCCCAAGGCCGAGAAGAAGACCTCCGCCGAGGATGAGGAGGCCAACCTCACCCCCAACGTGAGTCATTTTCTGCCCATTCGTCGCTGGGGGCCGCTTCTTTGTGTGCTGTCGGGGGATCCATTGTCGCATCTCTGCTAACATTCCCGCTCATTTCTGTACAGCAATACTTCGAGATCCGCAGCAAGAGAATCAACAAGCTGCGCGAGACCAAGAACCCCGACCCCTACCCCCACAAGTTCCAGGTCACCGATGATCTGCGCAAGTACCTCACCGATTACGAGGGTCTCGCCAAGGGCGAACAGAAGCCTGAGGTCGCCGTCCGCATCGCCGGTCGTATCTACACCAAGCGTGCTTCCGGCGCCAAGCTGATCTTCTACGATATCCGTGCCGAGGGCGTCAAGGTCCAGGTCGTCGCTCAGGCTCAGCACGCCACTGGCGACGTGCCTTTCGAGGCTCAGCACGAGCACCTCCGCCGTGGTGACATTGTCGGTATTGTCGGCTTCCCCGGTCGTACCAGCCCCAAGAACCGTGCCGACGGTGAGCTGTCCATCTTCGCTACCGAGGTGGTTCTTCTCTCTCCCTGCTTGCACGCCATCCCGTCCGAGCACTTCGGTCTGCAGGACAAGGAGCAGCGCTTCCGCCAGCGCTACCTGGACTTGATCATGAACGACAAGTCCCGTAACGTCTTCGTCACCCGCTCCAAGATCGTGCGCTACATCCGCAACTTCTTCGACAACCGCGACTTCGTTGAGGTTGAGACTCCCATGATGAACGCCATCGCTGGTGGTGCCACCGCCAAGCCCTTCGTTACTCACCACAACGACCTCGACATGAACCTGTTCATGCGTGTTGCTCCCGAGCTGTACCTGAAGATGCTGATCGTCGGTGGTCTCGAGCGTGTGTACGAGCTTGGTCGTCAGTTCCGTAACGAGGGTATTGACCTCACCCACAACCCCGAATTCACCACTTGCGAGTTCTACTGGGCTTATGCCGATGTCTACGATGTCATGAACCTGACCGAGGAGCTGGTTTCCGGTCTCGTTAAGCACATCACCGGTGGCTACGAGACCACCTTCCACACTCAGTCTGGCGAGACCTACAACGTCAACTGGAAGGCCCCCTGGCGCCGCGTGGAGATGATCCCCGCTCTTGAGGAGGCCACTGGCGAGAAGTTCCCTCCGGGTGACCAGCTCCACACCGCCGAGACCGGCGAGTTCCTCAAGCGTGTGCTTAAGAAGACCGGTGTTGAGTGCTCTCCCCCGATGACCAACGCCCGCATGCTCGACAAGCTGGTTGGTGAGTTCATCGAGGAGACTTGCGTCAACCCCACCTTCATCACTGGCCACCCCCAGATGATGTCTCCTCTGGCCAAGTACCACCGCAAGAACGTCGGTCTGTGCGAGCGTTTCGAGGCTTTCGTCTGCAAGAAGGAGATTGTCAACGCCTACACCGAGTTGAACGATCCGTTCGACCAGCGCCTGCGCTTCGAGGAGCAGGCCCGCCAGAAGGACCAGGGTGACGACGAGGCGCAGATCATCGACGAGAACTTCTGTACCAGCTTGGAGTACGGCCTGCCGCCCACTGGTGGTTGGGGTATGGGTATCGACCGCCTGGTCATGTTCTTGACGGACAACTACAGCATCAAGGAGGTTCTGGCCTTCCCCTTCATGAAGGAGGACAAGACTGCACATGAAACCAAACCCGCCGCGGAGGTGGTTGGCATTGAACCTCAGGCTGAGGAGGGTATTGGTGAGTTCACCATCTTGATTTCTCCTGAGAAAAGAAATGAATAGCTAACAAGCGATTACAGCCCACAAATAGATAAAATGTGACGAACTGATTATTAGATGTTAGTATTTTCTGATGACTAGTTGCATGGTATTCGGATGTCAATGAAGAAATGCATAAAATGATTATAGATGCTAGGGATGTAGTAAAGATCTTTTTTTCTCTTCTTATATACCTACTCCATCCCCCTTATAGTATTTACCCCACAAAATATAATAATGTCCCCTACGGTGAAGGCAGTAACAAAGAAACGAATGGCTTGTTCAAATCAGCCGCAAGCAGGACAAGAGTGGGATCCCCTTTCGGGACCGCAGTCAGATGACCCTGGATAGCTGTGCCTTATCCCTCGGCCATCTTTTCTACTATTGGAAAAGGGCTAAAGTGTGGTTAGAAGACTAGTTGCAGGATTCTAACTGCATTGCTGATGTAGGAGGATATTCTATTGTTGTGTCGTCAGACTCAAATGGGCTGGATATAGAGTTGACGGGAGGGATGGGCGGATGCAGATATGGGTACCGGATATGGTTTAGCGCCCGGGTGATAGTAACGCAGGATCCACTACGGAGGTATAAAGCGGTACGTATTGCCCAAGACCATCAAAATACTGCCACACCGCACCGGGATTTTAACAGAATCTCAGACGAGCATTTGGGAACTGTATGTTTCCAAAACCCGCTAAATCCGTGGTTTTTTCGGATCGAGCTTCACTAGGTTCTGCCGTCTCTGGCGGTCAATAAAGCGGTAAGAGTAAACAAATTGCCTTCCATCATTTTACCACCCTCTATATTGATGCCTTAGGCAGATATGTAATCAGATCTGCTTCAACAACAGGATATGTAATGTAGAAGGGACTGCAACATGCAAGAATGTCACTGTTACAAGTTCAAGCTTGTTATATGGGGCAATTTCCGTAGATGAACTATAGTGATGATGGTTCGGGCATTTTTCCTTAGGGAAGTTCCCATGGAGAACGATAGAGAGATTTGATATCATGCTTGGTCTGTATATACTCCCTTTTTGCTCACTATAGCAAACCCTCTCTCTCTTACTAAGTTCACTACTTCTAATTATTATCCCCGAGTATTTTTTCTCACAAGCCGGTGTATGCGTTCCTCCAAGGTTACTGGTGTTCTAGGTCTACCTACCGGTCACTTTTTTACTAGATGGAAGGTTGTTAGCAGTACTGCTTACTATTGATGAAGTAGTAGAACAACTGTAATTTCCGGTAGAATGTGGATAGACATGATTTGAAACCTCAATCATTGGCAGAAGCTGAGTGCCTTATTCCTCGGGCATGGGCATGGTAGTAGTTATTGGAATATCCCTTTAAGCTTAATAAGTCTAATCTTCATTTCCCTTCAATCACGATAAATAAATTATGAGCCGCGACGAACATGCCCTGCATAGGGCCTCAAGTCTCTCCTCATGGCATAGCTTTACCACGTCGGCATTTCCCTGCGTAACAGCTTCACGTCTCCACACATTTTCTTTCGAAGACAAGTATTCTAGAAGGCAGAGAAGAAGTATATATACTTCGGAGAATTGTCTACACAAGCTTGTACATCAATCACATCTCGACCATTACAACTAGTAATATACGTGAGACATCTAGTTTCATTACTCGTATTGCCATGGAGCCCCAGTCTGCGATTCCCCCAAACGACACCGCCGCAGAGGCGAGCCCAGCCGCAGAAGTCCACACCGAATTCCGATACATAGAAGCCTACGAAGACGTCTGCGACAGATGCGACCTCTTCAACATGCAGAATGCCATGTCGCAGTGCCGATCATGTGGATGGCGAGAATGTCGTGCATGCACGATCGAGAATGGTGGACGCCGAACCCATCGGGTCCAAGGCAGGACGCATTTCTCACCCGTTGATGTAACCGACTTAATGGCCCAGGCGACTGCTGATCATGAACAGAGAGTGGCGAGACTAGGAGGATGGATGGCAATGAGTAGACGGAGGGGCCATGCCAGAAGATGGATATCTACTAGTAGAAGGAGGGAAGAAGAACAGCAGCATAGAGGGAGGGGGAGGAGAAGCCGACGAGGCCGCCGGGGAAATCGCCAACATTGTCAAGCACCAGCACCAGCACCAACGCCTGAAGCTACCGCTGCTCCGTCCCCGGCAGCTTCTCTTAACACTGGGGAAGCAATCTTGAATGATGCTCGAGCTCCCGAGACAGCAGAAGGTGCGGAGATGCTGTATGCTTTGGGGCTGGAAGACTCTGCTAGTCGCAGAAGTGAAAGTGGTAGGTGAATCACAGTAGTCTTGAAGCGGAACTCGTTCTTACAGAGTTCATAGGGTCCCCTGCCACCGAGGAAGAGAGACGAACTATACGTGCTCCCTTTCTCATCCTGGCGAAACGTGCCCGCGAAGAATTCGAAACCCAACAGACAGACAGGGCAAGTAAGCAGTGAACGTACCACGTCAAACAGATAACTATCTGTTGATGTGCTGTTATCCGACTATTGCTCCTGCAACAAACTTATGCCCTTCGGTATTCTCATCGTGTGTTATGGTGACCTGGCACAGTTTCCCTTCAATCTCCTGAATAATTGTTGAATATTCTCCGTTCGAAGTTGCTTGCACACTGGGTTTGAGACAGACGGACAGAAGAAAAGACCTTCCGATCGAGAGATGAGAGCTGGATCTCATCATAGGGGGAAGTATTCCGCAGAAATGTAGGCGCCGATACCCTCCACCGTCCTCCAGAATGTCTGTTGCTCGACGCCAGCAAAAATCTGGATTGTGAGTACTACCGTGG